AGGTTTGCATATGTTTCTTACAGACTTGTTAGGCAACCCAATGGCCAACCAAAGGAGGTTGCACGGCAGGCTAGCATTGCTGCTAATTGCAGAGCAGTGGTGCTTGACATCTCCAGGTATCTAAATAGATTCACAAAAATAAATTGTTTAGGAAAACTGCATACAGTAAAACACATTATATATAGATTTTAGGGTTTACATACAGCAGGGACAATTGACTAAGCAATATTTTACCGTATCCGAGTATATGATAAAATAATAGTTCATTTTGGGCCAGCTTGCCCAATCGAACTATGTCCCTCACTAACATGTGAGGCCGCTGGATGTGCTGTATAAATGGTATGTAGCTGTGGCTACATACAGCATACCGCACTGTGTACCGGGAGCAAGCCAAGACTTCCAGTCTTATTCCCAGAACACACACAAGAGTCTATCACAGTGGCGCTCAGCCATTCAGAGTAATCAATGTATTCTATCAATGAATATGAAGCTTCCTCTGATTGGCTGAGTAAGAAAGGTGGGCTGATGATGTCACAACCTCGCACTCAAAGGAAGCTTTGTATACATTGGTAGACTACATTGCTTTCTCTAAATGGCTGAGCACCACTGTGATGACTCTACTGTGTTCCAGATATGAGACTGGAAGTCTCAGCTCGCTCCTGGAACACAGTGCAGTATGCTGTATGTAGCCGCAGCTTACATACAGTTTATACCGCACATCCAGCGGCCTCACAGGTTAGTGAGGGTTAGTGTAAAGTATATCAAAAGGTGGAGATCAGCTTTAAAAGGGCCACTCTTGATCTTTTCCTCCTCCTTTTCTGCATTGCTTTAAATTCCAGAAGATTGGATTCAAAGGGCTCCATTGACTGTGATATGTAGTCTCCCAGCCTCCAGAGACAATGCTGAAATCTAGCTGCCACCTGACCCAGCTTGCATTCCCCCCCCCTTTTTTTTTTATAAACCAACCCCTGACCCCCTAAACCGGGTCTGACTGTTCCCATACTTATCACATACTTGTTGTAAGCCTGGACCACTACTTAATTACCACAGGCATTTATTTATTTATTTATTTATTTATTTATCTCCGTCTGTGAATTGACTTTAACAACTTTCTATGTGGTATTTACCAAGCGTTTTTGCTGTTTGCGGTAAATACCGCATACACGCAATAACGAATTCACATTTTCAGCATCCCGTGCGATATGTGGTCAGTTCCAGCATCTACCAGAAACTGAAATATCAGTTCTGCGTGGTCTGATCTTTCAAGCAGACCTTCTTTGCTTATAGCTCCCAAATGTCCTTCATTTAGAGCAACCATTCCTCTTTTGGAACTGAATGTCTTTGTTCACTGTTTTCCTCAGTTGTCCCGCTATGGGTATAAAAAAAAAAGAGGTCAGCTCGCAGATCTCCCTTTTTTGTGTACCTATAGGAAATGATTTATTAACGGTAAACAGTCTTTTCACTTTAATAAGTACACCAGGTGGCGCCATCTACACCTACAAAGTCATGTGAAAAAAATTTTTGGGAATAAAATGTATGTATGTGCAAAAAATATATAGAGTAGGGAAGCAGCTCTTAACAGAGTATGAATACTCTTTGCATATCAATAATTAAATAAAAAGCCATAGAAGTTTATTTAGCAAACCAAAAAGAGGAACGATTGAGGAATTACAAATAGTGTAAACAAAAAAACATTTTTGCACAGAATACCCAATCATGTAAGAATAAAAAGCACCATTTTTACTTGCACATGATTGGATGATGGAAGTCAGCAGAGCTTCACCTTATTCACTAAGCTCTGGGGAAAATCCCTTGCAAAGTGAAAAGTCTAATCCCTTAAAACTATCAATGAGTGCATTGTAAAAAAACATCATTGTGAAAATGTGAACACAAATATATATAAACGCTGCAACTCAAAACATTTCAGAATGTCCATATAAAACTTTTGATTGTCCTTTCAAAATATCAGCAATCAACCATGCACCCAAAACCTGTGTTCAATGCGATAAAGAATAATTTTTCACCAGCAACGTGCTGTAAAATGAAAGGCTTACCAGATCCAATCACAATCCGCGCTTGTCATATGATCAGAGCAAGTAATGAAGGAAGAAGACATCACCAGGATCTCCAGATCTAGTTCCAATTCAGGCATATCATGTAAACCAGGCAATGTTATAAAGGAGGTAAACCTCACCAGGATATCCTTCTCAGACTCATAGCTTAACAAGTGCCACTCCAGGCACTGGATATTGGCACAATACAAAGAACCGCAGCACTGACACTCTGACTGACAGGGCCGGCCTGCGTTCCACGAACGGACTCCAGAACACCGGAAGTGATGCTCAGTGGGGTCCAGAAGTGACAACAACGGCCAGGCCTCAATGCATTTCGCAGAATCGCATCATCAGGAAGCTGTGAATATCCAGTGCCTGGAGTGGCACTTGAGTCTATGAGTCTGGGAAGGAGATCCTGGTGAGATTTGCCTCCTTTATAACATTTACATGATATGAATTATATCTGGAGATTCTGGTGATGTCTGCATCCTTCATTACTTGATCTGATCATATGATAAGTGCGGATTGTGATAGGATCTGGTAAGTCTTTCATTTTACCATTTCATTTTATTATCGCATTGGACACAGGTTTTGGGTGCATGGTTGGATTGCCAATATTTTGAAAGGGCAATCAAAAGTTTTATATGGACATTCTGAAATGTTTTGAGTTGCAGTGTTTATATATTTGTGTTCACATTTTCACAATGATGTTTTTTTTCAAAGCAATAATTGATAGTTTTAAGGGATTAGACTTTTCACTTTGCAAGGGATTTTCCCCAGAGCTTAGTGAATAAGGTGAAGCTCTGCTGACTTCCATCATCCAATCATGTGCAAGTAAAAATGGTGCTTTTTATTCTTACACATGATTGGGTATTCTTTGCAAAAATGTTTTTTGTTTACACTATTTATAATTCCTCAATCGTTCCTCTTTTTGGTTTGATAAATAAACTTCTATGTCTAATTTCACTATTTAACAATTGAAAGTGGTACACAGCACTAAACCTTTTATCAACCTCCAAATGATAGAATATGTTGTTCTGGGAAGCCAATGTAAAGAAAATAGTGGTGACAAAAGCATTTGTGGATAAAATTTTATGTATTCATTCTTTATAATCATGGAGGGAGTTGCAGGAGTGCATCATTTGCCTACATGTTTTAGTTACATTTCTGAGATGACAAGGAGGGATTTCTTTAAGAGGTATGCCTATAGTAGATAACATGTTGTTCAGGCTATTTTCAGTTTCTGCCCAACTCAAGTACTAAGCTTTTTTATTTTTTTCTAAAAAAAAAAAAAGTGATAGAATAAAGCAAGGGTCACGTCTCTCACATTGTCATGTTTTTCTAGTGAACACTTCTAGTTGAAGGTCTCTCCTTTGAGTCAAAATTGCTGCTTTCCGCTGGATATTGATGTTTTGACTGCCTTGCTTTACCCCTGTGTGTGCTCCAGGACATAGCCTTGTAGGTGGCCATGCAACTGCCTGTTTATAGTTGCTGTCTAACTGTAGTAGAAGTGGACATTCACAATGGGATAGGTATTCCAAACATGCCTGAATTGTTCACCTTCAGAAACATTTCAGCTAGGATGACAGTCAAATCCATGGGACCGAATAACCTGTAAGCTGTCCATTCTTGTGCATTTGCTGGCACACAGCATGACTGAGGGTGTGTTTGCAATTGCCTAGGGTGAAACAGGAACAGCACAAGCTTATCTCCTTGGCTTCCCAATGTCACTAAACAGCGTTTTATTTTGAGATTCCTGGTGGTGCTTGGCAAAGATAAACAGCATCTTCCATCAGGAAACCTGGGAGCTATTTCCACAGGAAGTCTCAAATCACTTAAGTAAATACAACCATTTTACATTATTGCAGCCGTGCAGCTAAGCATCACATTGATCTCCGGGTTTAGGTGTAATAAGCCAGAGCGTTCTTTCTTTCCTTTTTTTTTTTTTTTACCTTCTTCGATCCAAAAATGTTCCCACTCTGTTTCAGCAACTGTTCAGAACGAAGTGTGACTTACTTATGACATCAAGGAAATGTTGTAAGAACCTGAAATCCCACATAAAAGAACATTTTGTTCAGTATTATATTTATATATTTATTCAGTATATATATATTTATTATATTTTATATTATTTAAAATCGTGGTATGTCACATACAGTCTGTTTTCTTCTAAGAATACTTTATTCATTATTGCTAAAGAGAAAATTAGGAAACAAATTTTAGTTGTAATTCTTGTTCATTTTGTTCATCATCAAAAGAGGGTAACTTCATTGAATTGTTCATATATTAATATAAACCTGATTCCTAGCAAACTTGATAATGAGTCTATGATTAATTTGCATACCTAAATAAATGGTATTTTCTTTAGAAAGTTTTTATTTGGTAGACTTAAAAAAACCACAGTTTTTTTATATGTTTCAAAAAAATGTTTTCCTCTCATTTTTAAATGTATTTATTAGTACTGTTTTAAAGCTGTCATTGTATCTGATATTTTTAAATGTATGGCACTGAGGATGGATTTATTTAGAACACTGTTTTGGCAAAAAGCCATGCCAAAGGTATCCAAATGTGCTAAATTCTATTTTAATTCATTAACTTTGTATTTTTTTAATTAATTGTGTCAGACACATACAGTCCTACAATAGTAGATGCCATGGCAGTCTGAAGGTGTTAGTGTTCATTTGATGTCTAAAGGCTTATTATGTATGGAGCCTCCAGCTTGCATGCCATCACTTTGTCACAGCTGACATTGTGATCACATGATCAGGAATTGGTGTGATTAGTTCCCAATCATCAGTGGAATCTGGAGCTGCCAGTAAAAGCCAGGAAATAGAAGCCAACATCAATAGGCAGTTACTAAGTTGCAGTTTTCCACTAAACCATTTGTGATAAATATGATCTTAGCTTATTTTTTTACCTAAATTAAGCTGTTTATGATTTCTCCAGATGTTGCAAATGGATTTCACATAACCCTGGACAAGGTACCAAAAGAAGGCGACAACATGACATTAACTTGCTCAGTTAACAAATACTTGTACACCAACATAAGCTGGGTTCTGCGCAGGCGAGTTGGGAATCGTACAATTGACCACAGCATCAGCAAACAAAGAAGTGCTACCACAACAGAATACTCAACCATTCTAACAGTGACTGTCCATAATGCCACCCAGGCTGACTCAGGGGTATATGAGTGCAGAGCCACAAACACATACAGTGGAGACACAGTTTCACAAAGCAAAGAGATTTTTATCACAGGAGAGCATCTGGCTAGAAGAACACATTTTTCACGGACCTCAAAACAAAGAAGAAAACATTATGCAACAGAAAGCAGAGCAGCCCACTAAGATGACTCTAATCATTATTATGAAAGATTGTGATGTTAAAAATGAAGGTACTGAATATGCTTCCAGAAAGGATTTGAGATGTCTTGCTCATCTACATTCTCATACTAACTCTATTGTATAGGAAGCTATCAATCTTCCTGAGATACACAGTTGAAGGATAATGTCTCCAAAGACTAATCTTCAAATTCTTCAAGCTATAAGTGCACTCAGGATTCTGCGAATATTTTTGGCCTATATCTGAATATATTGTATCTGAGTATACTACTAAGGAAGATGCTATTTTTTAAATCTAGTTGTATACTGTGCATCTAGATTTAAGGGAACCAGGTCCACTGGACACAGAAAAATGGCCAACGCTGCAGACATACACAATCTATACTAAAAAAAAGGATGAATGAAAGGTTAAGTCATATTTAAAAACTTTGGAGACCTGTAAGACACAGTATATAATTCAGTAATGATCAAAATTGTGCAAAAGCACGAAATGAATGAAGCAAACGTAGCTGAAAGTGCACCTGTGCCCAGGCTATGGACATTACATTATTTGCATATATATACAATTCCTTAGTGACCTCTCTAGCTGCTTGTACAGTGAAGTCATTTCTTCTTAAATACCCTCAAAGAACACAACAAAAATAGATTCCTGTTTTAGTTTGTTTTTAACACTTGCTGTGTGTTTTCATTAGAGGACAGACAGGCTGCCAAAATCTGCTTTCATAGAAAAAAAGAAGATATTTCAGTTCCTGTGTTGTGAACTTTGAAAATTAATTTCTCCAAAATACTTATAGATACAGAGATGGATGAGGGCTTGAGCTGGATGAGAATGAGTTTATGGCTTATTCAGAATATGTAAATAATTTAGTGAGCACAATCTAGGCACAGGTTCACTTTAATTTTTATGAAATATTATTCTTTAAAAAGAAACATTTTGGTGTCCAGAAAATTAACATTCACTATTTTGCTTGGTAGCTATAATGCACCTTATTGACTGAGCTGCTATATATATATATATATGTCAGTGCAAAAATATATATCATGCAAGTGAGTGTGTCAGGCAAATATCTGCCAGAGAATTCATTAAGACGAAGACATAGAAGATGTTTTTTTTAGTTTAAATGTTTATGAAATTGCACCAGAAAATAATTATCAATTAGGTTCCCAGAAAACCATTAACATACAAGTAAAGTAAAATACATCTGCATCCATCCTTAGCAGAAGCAGTATTTTCTATGTGTTAAATGGCTTAAAGAAAATTCTAATAACAATGGGTATTGCTTTTATTTCTAAAATTTAAAATTTCTCTTGAAGTATCATAAAAGTAGTTGCACTGTCAAGTCTATGAAACATAAATTTTTGTTATATATCTATTAGTGGTTTGGGGTAGGATATCTATTTATCAGAGGCCTTTAGTTGTGTGAGCACGGGAACCTTCTTAAATGCATAGGCAACACATTTTTCTTGCCGCCTTACTCACTGAAATACTATGTAGCTACCATATCAGTCATCATCTTCTGTAACAGTTCCATTTTATTTAAGCCTTATTCACCCTATATATTTTTATCGCAAGTGTTTAAAACTTTTTTTATTTTAATAATTATGTATACGCACATCATTTGGAAGGTTCTTCAGTATATCTTTTAAAAAGATTGATCAAATTCATTACAGAGTTGTGCCTGCTATCTGGACACAGGGGAGGCAACAATATAGAGAGTTGTATCAGTATTTAAAGGGGGGTTTTCCAGGTTCAGATAACTATTTATAGATGTGATTCTATGCCTAGAATAAATATACTTTAAATTAACTTCCTCCTTATCTGCAATGTCAGAGGTGTTTGCTATAACCATCCCTGGTTATAACACGGCTGTGTCCTGTATGTGTGTTAGATCCCCCCTTTACCCAACCTGACCCCTACATGTTCTCTACATATTTGTTTAAAATATACACTAGTTGAATAACCTTGTTGTAGATTTCAATTTTATCCTCTCATGACCATCTAAATAGTCGTATCGTAAAGCAACAATCGTAATACAGTGGTCATGCTTTCAAATCTTACCATAATACCATATCACTATGTATATAAAATTGTAATATATTTTGTACATTTCAGACAGCAAGAGTCCTAAAAATACTTGGAAAATGTTTTTCAAATAGATACCTTCCCACTGACAAGTAGACCTGAATAATAAACAGAGGTAGTTAACTGGGGGGGATTGGCTTCTTTCAGTCCTTTCATTGAAAGTACAGATGGTGTCACTCATAATCAGGTGTGAAACTGGAAAACCTCTTCAAGCTATCAAATAGTTAAAATATCACAATATGGGTGCCTCAGTTTTGTGGTGTCTACAGGTACACATACAGGGCAAGCCCACCCCTACATGGAATTTCCGTTCTGATTGTACACTGGCAGAATCTGTTGCCTACCAAGTTTTTCATCATTTGGCTTCTGATGCTCCATCGAGGCCAAACAAGGCTGATGTGCTCCTTTTATTGTTTCTCTAAAATAAGTGGAACTAAAAACACGTAGGATTTCATAGCAATGGTAACTTTCCTTCATAGTGTCCTTTGTCGACTAGTAAAAAGAGAAACTCGGGAAGACTTTCCACATCTGAAATTCCTGCGACATATACAAAGCTTGAGGGTCAGATATTGCTCTGACATCCTCTGTAACCTGGAAAACCATTGGTGTAGGCTTAGCTTTCAACTGAAAACTAGGCAATGGATAATTGTTTTTCCTTATAAAAAAACAGCTGAATATGTATTTCATTTTACTAACTTCTTGCAGTTCTTTCCAGTTTTCAAAGCCAATAAATGGTTTCTGACTCTGGATACCAATTATCAGATTAAACTAGCCTTGAAACAGTGGTGCTGACATTGTACAGCTATAGCCAAAGCTGAAACAGGCTCATCATTAAAACACAAAGCAAAATATAAGAAGATGCCCTTAGCAACAAAGTATATTTTAGCACGTTCCTAACCTGCCTTGACAGGTGGAATGGCATTGTTTGCAAAGAGCAACACCAAGCTTTTTTGCTTGAGTTTTATAATCACCTCCCTAACTCTTGTCACAGTAGCCAGATAACAGTAACCATGCTCTTCCCATACACACCTGCAGATTGAGAATTTGAGAACGTTTGATTAGTGTCTATAGCTATACCTAGGTAGGTAAGTTTGTCTATAATGTACATAAACTGGTTTTGTGCAGCGTTCATTTAGACTCTGCATGATTATTATTATTGTACTGTAAAAAAGACAACAGATATTTAATAAAATAATAACCTATACTTTTGTATGTGTTGAACAAACTGTACATAGTTTTTGTTTTAATATGTTAATATAAAGTTTAATTAAAGATTAAATAATTGTAAGGAATGCACTGATGTATAGGCTTAAAACTATGCATGCTGTTTATTGTTCACCAAGAGGGCTTTAGAGGCATTCCTGTCTCATTTAGTCACATTAGTGTAATTACTGGATACTGCCTCTGTAGATATTGTCTGTATTTCCTCTGTGCTTTTTTTTTTTTTTTTTTTTAAAGTGACTCTCTCATGAGAAAGGTATGGCGGCTGCCACTACTGACCTCTCCTTTGAGAAAAGTTTGCTGGCTGTCCTGCTGATGCTTAGGCTCTAATTTTTCCCGCGTCTATGACCTGGAACTAGTATAAAGACTAGAAATTCCAGCACTTTTCAAACACTCTTTTAAAGCATGTTTGTTCTGAATATGTAACTCAAAAGTATTAAAGCCAGGCATAGACAGGTAACTAGCACTTTCAGGGGAAGCAATGGCAGCCTCCGTACTTTTCACACTTTAATGAACTGAAAAGGCAACTCTCATGTGCAAAGTGTAGTAATTCCAGATTTCCCCTTTAATCATCTTGTTACAGTGATAGGAAATTATTGCTGTGGTTGCTATGGGTAAGGCCAGGCATACATAAGCCAATCTCTCACTGAGAATACTGGGCGGTTAGGGATTTGCTTGTACTTATTTGGATTACCTCACTGCAAAGATTTACCATGAGTTATTATTCAGCTTGGCCAATGTTCAGATGCAGCTTACAAGCAGAAAAGGGACTCTTTCCCTCTACCACTAAACGTTTGCAGAGATTTTGCAACAAGTTGGAGATTCTCCACAAGAGATGCTATGTTCATTCATTATTTCTCAGGCATCATTTTCTAAAAGCTGTACTGAAATCTATCTGCCCATTTTCCATGAGATATGTTCAAATTATTTGTCCAGTATCAATAGACTATGCACAAATACATCTTAACAGTTGCCATAGGGCATATTGAAATTAATTTGACCATTTGCAAATATCCTTTCATGTAAGGCCACAATCACTGTACGCTATGTGCATTGATTTTTACTATTTTTATTTGCATATGTAGGCTGTGGAGGTAATTAGTACATACTAGCTTGGGATGTCAGTCAATACTAGTAGTAATGGCTGACAAGAATTAATGGTCTTGGGTTTGTTTCTTTCAAACAGCCATTTCAGCTTGATACTTGGGCCAAAAATCATCGGTCAATTCTTCAGGATTTCGGCCTATGTATAAAGTTGTCTTAGAACCAGTATTAAACCTGGCTTCTGTTGAACAGGCATGCTGGAAACCCAGCATCCGAGAAGCCAATCGCTGCCAGTGCTGAACAGTGTAATCTGGCGGGAGGGGGGCAGTCCCCCTATCAGAACACAAAGGCACAGCGGGGGATATCACTGCACTAACACCACTTGTGTTAGTATGGTGATTTCTCCATTTTTTTTTTCATTCAGTCTGTTGGGTTGAACGGAAAAAAAAACAACTTGTATTAGGCTTTAGACATGTTTCAGTGGAATATTCATCTTTGAGACCTGTAATATTCAAATGATTCAGCAAGCTTGGTTATCCAGATTGGAAAATCAAATTGTAGGACTGAACACTGTGATTCCACAGCCTATAGGGAGAGGAGTCAAACTGAATATTTAAAAATTTGTCCTACCTTTACTGTACAGAACATTACAGTATTA